ATTAGCGACGAGCATGTAACAATCGGCAAAAGTCCCCCAATCGCACTTGAAAGTGGACCCGTCAATGCTAGAGTTGACAGAGGGATTGGTGGGATCGTTGCGAGGAAAAGAATGATCTTGAATGAGACGAAACTTGGAGGTACCAGGTTTGGGGATAACACCGAGAGGGCCGGTACAAAAGGGCCCCATGAGAGCCTCGAGTTGGGCAAGCGAATAAGGGCCGGAGTAACGACCCTCACGGAGTTCAGAATTAATGTAATCGAGAATAAAGTCGGAATGGTCGAGGGCAGAACGATGGTTCGGTGGAGAAAAAGTAGAGAGAAGCGGGAAAGAGACCCCGAGCCGCCAACCGTCACGGATACCAAATGGAACGTCAGCGAAATCGTGGAGGACGCCCGCGTCGTCCAGCGCCACCGCCCACTTCTCCCAGAGAAAGGGCGTGACGATCCGAAGTGCCCCCAGCTCAAGCGCATGCCTGAGCTGAGTGAGACGCGCCGCACTTGGTGCAGCGGTGGAGGAAGCGGCAGGGTTGGCGGGCACACCCCGCGGCGCCGTTGAAAGCGAAACAAACGAGCTCGTTGGCAGTAGTCGACCACTTGCCAGCCCGGAGTGAGATGTAGCCGGTGTCGGTGATACCACAGGCGCGGTTCCGGCAGCCGGTGGCGAGGCAGAAGATGCAGCGTTGGGAGCTGGAGCCTGCAACAGCGGAGGTAGCGGGAGTGGCAGTGGACGCAGCACGCGAGGGGCGCGATGAGGAGGCGCGAAAGGACGAGGTCCCGGAGGTGGAGGAGGAAGTGGCGCGCTCGACCGAGTGGTCGAGGTTGAAATCCGTGACGATACGGTTCCAGACCCGGTCCTGGAAGGTGGAGGGATCAAAGTCCTCGACACCGGCCGCGTGAATGCGGCGGCACTCGATATCGTACGCTAAGAATAGCTGCCAGCGGCCCCGCTTGTAAACGTCCGGGTGCAGGCGGATACCGTCATAGTGATCCTGCCAGATCTGGGCCCAGCACGCCGCCAAACCACTGTCCGGCTCCTCAGGAAAGTAGAGGCGGATGAGTCGGATGAGGCGCGGGAACGCCTGCATCCACTCGGGCAGCGTCAGCGCATGTTCGCCTTCCGCAGTCCAGGTAGAGGGCAGGAGAGTGAGCACGCCCGAGTCCGAGACGGTAGCGGTGGTGCGATCCGTGGATTTGGACCACTTGAGGCCGCGTAAAGTGTCGTTGGTAAGCAGCGTGAGTGGAATATGTTTGGTCCAACCCGCCTGGATGGCGGCGATGGCCAGCGGGTGGTCCGGCAGAGTAAGGCCACTCAGTAGCCTCCCTGCCGTAGGCAAGGCACGCGGAACGGGCGCCGAAGTGGACGTGGAGTGGGCAGCAGCCGCTGAGGGCGCAGGAGCCCTGGGCATAGCAGCACGGGAACCGCGGGGAAGGGGAGACCCTGCAGGAAAACTGCGTGAGCATAGGAATGGGAATGGGAATGGAATGGAATGGAAGAGGAATGGAAGAAGGAATGCAAGGAACGGGGAGGAGCATGGAATGAAGGATACATACGGGCAGAAGGAGCGCGGGCATTCGCCAGCATAGAGGTGCGGCTCGCCTGGTCGGAGACCATGGATATGAACTGCTCGCGGGTAGCATTCGAGAGGGAGTCCCAGAAGGTGATCCCGGGCGCCGACGCAGGAGCCGGGGAGGACTCGCGAGAGGCCGGGAGGCGGACGGAGGAACCGCCCTGAGGTGAAGGCGGCGCACCTTCGTGAATAATGCGAGTGCCCGAGATCGACGAGGTCGGGGCATCCGAGCGCCCGATTGGGTGAGCGAAGTGAACGCGGGCTCGTTGCGGCAAGGAATGTGGTAAGGCATGGGGGGAGTCGCCGTCTGGTGATGACGGCGGAGCCGCGGCCTTCTCTTTCCCTTTGGCACGCTTCGGCGGAGGAGCGATGGATGCCGAGTCTGAACTTGGCATGCGGCGACGCGTGGAATTCGCCCCTGGGTGGTCCAGGGCCCCGAAGCTGGGGGGAGGAGTGTCCCCCGCCGGATCTGAGGGAGCATCCCCGTCGTCAAATGCCTGCGGCTGAGGTGCAGGGGCAAAGGCCTCTGCGAGAGCAGGAGCGGCGTTGTCAGCCGCCGATAGGATGAGATCGTCCGACAACGGCTCGTCCTCCTCAGGACTAGCAGGTCCAGACGTCCCAGAGTGAGCCAGGACGCTGGACGGCGTCGGGGTGACAGACCGGCGAGAGGTGGCCCGAGCAGAGACGGGGAGGCGAGGAGCCATGGCGGAGAAAAACAGGGAGAGACGAGGTACGGGGGAGCGACGTGAGAGCGAGGCGAAGAGAGAGAAAAAACGAAAACGAAAATGCGAGCTGGAGTCTAAGCCGCGAGCGAGATGGTGGCGGTTGTGGATCAAGAGACAACGCCACCGATCTCACTGCTCGCTCTGGCCAGAAAAGTCGCGCCGCTGGTCACGCGTGCGTTGACTTTCCGCGACCCTCTC